CAATACTTTTTTTGGTCTAGGGTATAAAAAAATTATTCACATCTATAAAAGAGGAAAATATTTGTTTTTTTGTAATTTATGGACTCGAAAACCGATGAACAGATTTTCAAGTATACTACAACATCGCCTGAAACTAACATAGGCTATATATATATTTGAAATTCCACTAGGAACTGGAGATATGGCATCAGAATCGGAGGTACCTCCAAAAAAATTAGATTTTATATGCATATATATTTATGGATTACAGATACAGTCTCCAAACTTGGACTGCGTAACGGAATTTGAAACAATAATAAATTTGGCAAATTATATTGAAATCGGCATAGATTTGGATATAGCTCCCATATATATTTTCGGCCAATTTCACATATTTGATGCGCCAAACGCGCTATGTATGTCCAATTGCAATGGAATTATGCATGAGTGACAAAATTTCGTACACACGTAAATTTACCAAATTATATTTAAATCGGTGCAGATTTGAATATAGCTCACATATATATTTTCGACCGATTTCGTTTATATGATGCAGCAAACACGATATGTATGTTTGATTCCAACGAAATTTGGAATGTGTGACGGCATTTTGATCAGAAAATAAATTTGTCAAATTATATAGAAATCGGTTCAGATTTGGATATAGCTCGCATATATATTTTCCGCCAATTTCATATATTTTATGCACCAATAACGATACGTATGTCCGTTTTCTGTAAAATTCGGCATGAGTGACTAAATTTGGAACAAAGATAAATTTGTCAAATTATATTCAAATGGGCTCAGATTTGGATATAGCTCCCATACATATTTCCGGCCGATGTCACATATTTGATGCACCAAACACGATACCCATGTCCGATTCCAATGATGTTCGGGCAGAGAGGCGAAGTTTGGCACCAAACAAATATATTTTTCGACCGATTTCATGTATGTTATGCACCAAACAAATAATATGCATGTCCGATTTCCATTAAATTCGGAATGTGTGGCAGAATTTGTTTCCAATAATATATTTGATAAATTAATTAGAAATTGGTCAAGATTTGGATATAGCTCCTATATTTATTGTCGTCCGATTTTACATATTTGATGCACCAAACACACACCAATTTCAATGAAATATGGAAGGTGTGATGGAATTTGGTGTAAAAGTAAATTTTGTCAAATTATATTGAAATCGGTTCAGATTGGGATATGATTTTATTAAGAAGTATTGACTGACAACGCCTTTGCAATGGTATTAGGCTAACAGTTGAAAACTACACAAAAATTTAATTGAGTATACTACCTCTAATTCACTAATTGCAATAGAAATACCACTCAACTTCAAAATATTGCAGTCTCCTGCACGTTTGGCATTTGTTATGAAATTAGTATATCCGAAGGACAAACCCTTCGTGTATGCGGACTAAATTTGGCATGTTCCTGCTTTTCACAGGGCCAGCTGTTCCTGGCATTTTCACGCTTTGGAAAACAGAGCTATTTGTTTGTTTACGCATTAAAGTATTACAATAATTACATTTTTTTTAACTTTAGAGTTTGTTTTATTTTTTTTAACAACAAATATTTATATATAAAGTTTTGAATTCATATAAAATCAAAGGAGGTAGCAAAGCGCGCCAGGTTCAGCTAGTGCTGCTGCTACCGCTTAAAACTTCCATTTCTTGTAAATAATGTACCTCACAAAAGGCAAACAAAGTATATATTTGTCTAAAAAGTGACACATCGCAAATAATCACAACTCCCATAATATGGGTAATATTTTTTTCCACATTTAACACTTCTCACTCCCTATCTACAACCAATATACAATCTGGCGTTCTATTCTTCTATATGAAGGGAAATGTGAAATGAAAAAAAGTTAAAAAAAAAAACAAAAAACATTTGAAACCACACCGGACTTCAGTGTGCAGGAAACTGGCGTTGAACTTGGATTGTTCTGGCGTTTAATTCGTATATGTTAAAGGGGTGAGTGTGTAATAGTGGTTCTCTGGCTTTTCTTGCCAGATTATTAAGCTGATCTCGAAAGAGAAACAAACAAATAAAATCGTAAGAGGTCGCTTGGTTACTCAAAGAGTGTCACATCTCAATATAAGCTACTTGAAATCGCCAACTAACACAAAATAGCAGTGAACGGCTGCAACAAAATTTAAATGAGCCCTAACATCAAAATAGCTCAGGACCAAAATAGCAGCACTGCCGCTACTGATTAGCAAGGTTTTTTTTTTTGAGTTCAGTGTTGTTTATAAAAAATTTATATTGTTTTTTAAATTGCGTTTTTACATATTTGATATTTTATATTTATACCCCCAGCCATTTGAAACGGCCAAAACGTGCCTAGTCAAAATAACGGTTTTTGACCCTAGGTCTCTTTGGACCAAATCTCTTTCAGAACATTTGAAGTCGATCTAGCTATGTCCGTCCGTCCGTCTGTCTGTCTGGCTGGCTGGTACGCACGATAACTCTCGAGGGGAGTATTCGATTTGGTCAAAACTTGGTACATCGCAATATTTTTGTCAAACTTAGATCGAGTTCGGAGATGGGCAATATCGGTCCACTCCTTCTGGTACCTCTCCCTCAAATGGTCAAAATTTTCAAGTTTGATTGGGCCAAAAATTATGTAACACCACGAAATATTGGTTTCCCACATAGGAAAGTATATATGGATCTTTCTATCTCGCCGAGCTGAGTCGATCTAGCTATGTATGTCCGTCCGTCCGTCTGTCCGTTTGTCCATGTTAATTTGTAATCACTCTACAGGTCGCAATTATGGCCCGATCTTTACGAAATTTAGAATGGAGGTGGGGCTAGGGTCAGAATAGAACCCTATTTCTTTTGGAGATGATCGCCAAATGTTTAGGGGTTGAAATGGACCAAATACTGAAAAATGTCGGATTTTGCAGTAGCTATACAGGTTGCAATTATAGACCAATCGACGGAATTTCGCATGTAGCTAGAGTTTACGGCAGGGAAGAAGCCTACCAATTTGGGTGGTCATCGGATAATATTTAGCGGGTAAAATAGACCATATCTTTTGTGTTGAAAAAATTTAAAATTGTTTCATTAAACCGCGAATATTTTAATTACCGGCGAAATCACAAAGCCATGACAAGGCTACTTCTGATCTTTACATTGATGTTAACATCCAACAAATCGGATATATAGCAAAATATGTGCGATATATATGTCTATCAAAGAAGATATGCTTGAAAGATCTCTTATATGTAGAGAACGGCTGAACTGATTTCAACAGTTCTCATTAATTCCGAATGGCCTCTTGGCAGGAAAGAAAAAACGTCTAAAAAAATCGCATAAAAGATGAAAATATTGATTTTGTAAAATTTTCTCATATTTTTTCAATTTTGTCATATTTTTGGCATATTTTCATTTTGAATTAAACATTTGGTAATATTTCTGTAGCTAACAAAAATAAGTAGTTAGGATATCAGGATATCATATACAGATAGCATTTATTGCCCGATCCTTACGAAATTTTGTATGGGGATAAGATGAGCGTCAGAATAGAAGCCTGCTCTTTTTGGAGATGATCGCCATATATTTAGAGGTTGAAATGGACCAAAAAACTGTAAAATTGTCAGCAGGTTGTAATTATCGCCCGATCCTCAGGCACATTTGAATGCAAAAGCCAAGCAGTTTTGGATGGCCATCCAAAAATATTCAATGTGTGAAGGAGTTTGCCAACTTTCGTAGACAAAATACGAAAATGTCCATTCCAGTGACCTTTTGGAGAATTCACAAATACAGGAAAGACGCACTTCTGACTATTTCGTAACGCTGATTTCGTTGAAGAATATAGTCAAATGTCTGTATCTCATATAGATGCGTTTCAGTCAAAAACCAATAATAAATGTTAATATTTTGCCACTTCTGAGAGATTATAGGTCTTTGGAAATATTGGTTCCAGATCTAGGAAGACCATTTATGTGCAACATCTACCAATAAATTGGAAATGAGGAAATTAGTTTACGTTGCTATTATTCGAAAATTAGAGAACGAAACCTGATGGTTTTCTTTTATTATTTGTCACAATATCTTGTGGAATTCTTTCGAGTATCTCGCCTATATAAACTGTATCGTTTATTATAGTGTTGTAGGGTATTCAACGGTCGGCCCCGCTCGACTGTAGCCTTTGCTTACTTGTTGAATTGAAAATTACCATTTTTCTCAATTCATTGAATGATAATTAATAAAATGAAAATAAATTTTAATTGATAGGTTTCAACAACATTTGCGTATTGTCTATATATAAAACAAGTTAAAAATATCAGTCGGTTTGCCGACAGATGTATACCCTCAGCTTATGTTTGATTATTTAAAAATATTTTGACGTCTGTTATGATTTTTCAAACTCTTGATCGTCATGGAGTGGGCTTTAAAAGAATGGGCCAATACTGTCAATTTCGTATCGGATCTAAATAAATGTGATATGAATGTCGCGACGTGCCAGTTTTGGACTATATTGATGACTTCCTTCACTTTACATGAGATATATGATAATTTTTAGAAAATGTTAACATGTGCGTGATGTACCAGACATAGTCATGCTTCATGCTTCATCTAATACAGATAAAAGTATTGGTATGGCCAAAATTATAAGAAAATCGAACATTTATATCCAATTTATGGGAAATCATAAATTCCATATTCATCTCAGGATTCTGGATGAGAGACATATATTTAGATATAGCACGTTGTAAAGAATCGCTGAGTTGTTTCGCAATTTATGACAGATAAAAGTATTGAAAATTGTAACCCAGAGGCATCGGAAGGGGTTCGCACATATATAGCATTTTCACTACAGAAGAGAAGGTTGCCCTTAAGAGGTAGCCAATTACATGTTTACCATTAATTTGTTGATTCCTACTGAAAATTCTTGGTATCTTTTCACTCGTGTGTTAAATGAATGAAATAATTATTAGAAATATACGTCATATGTGATTGGAATATCCAATAGTTGATTCCATGTAATTACTTACCATTTTAAAGCTGACGATGAGGCAGTAGACACATCAAACAGCGCAATTGCGAATAGCACAGTATTTATAATCATTTTATACCATTGGAACGTGATTTCGTCATTTAATGCCTATTTTGGTTGCATGTGTCTCTGCTGACACTGGGATCACCTACGAATAAAAAAGCAAACAATAAAAGCGATGATTTAAGGTGAATATAATTGCAAATGCTTGGAGAATACAAATCTAGATTGTGTCATACTTTGCAAATTTTCTTCCAGACTTTAATCTTAAAAAAGTCATTTATTGAACTTAGAAAAATAGCAAACCTTTATATCTCGGCAAGCTGTGTGCATATCCAATCGAAAAAAGTAAAATGCACTAAGCTACAACAAATAAGAAAACAGCATGAAATATGAAACTTCTAAGGTACATTAAGATTGCCATCGGAGAATATTGAGCGGATGAAATGGACCATAATTGTATTACATAAAACATCCCGGCGAAACATTATCGCAAATTATAATTACGAAGGGAATCACACGGTCCGTCTCGCCAGACTATAGCCTTTGCTTACCTCTTTTAATCTCTAACAACACAAAGAAGGCAAACTGAAATTAAAATATTCTACCAGTCTATTGAATTGAAATGCACTTTTATATGGGGGCTATACGAAAAGGTGGTCCTGCATATACAATTTTTTGTCATAACCTTTAGTACCCATTACGAACTTTAACTATGAAATTCGAAACAATTCCGGTGAATAATGCCGCTAACGTCATAAAATACAAAATAAAGGGAGGTGCCGTTATATGTGGGCTATATGAAGACGTGGACCTACATAGACAATTTTTCGTCACAGGTTGTAGTACCCATTACGAGCTTAAAACACGAAATTTGAAGAATAATGTTCTTAAAATCATCACAATACCGAATGTCGTTTTCAGCTTTTTCATATGACGACTTGGTGGAAAGGAAGCTCTTTCAATTTGAATCACACCAAGCTCGCTTTTCACAAAAAATCATCATAACAAACATTGGAAATAACAAATTACATGATTAATAATTTATAATGAAAAGGTGTACGCTGGAAAAATAGTAGTAGAAACGGTGGAATCTCGATTGCAATTTATCGAGACTGAATATGCTTTCTTATGTATTCAATTCGTTTTAACCATTATAAACCGTCTGCATATTTAAGTCCATTCTAAAGTTGATTTTTTGTGGGTGTTAAAGTGACCTTAAATATTTGAACACCTCCAATAATTTGTATGCGCTTTTTATTTTTTGCTATGAACAGAAGAATCGACAAGTTTCGGTTCAGTTTATTGCATCAAGTTGCTGGTAAGAAGGCTGAAAAGTAGCTCCCTGGTAAAAAGCGACTTAGTTCGGCCTTGCCGAAAGATAATGCAAACTCTAAGTAAGGGAACTGTCATAATTTAACTCTCGAATCGCTTTACTTTTTATGGTAACAGACGCCGCACAGTGGTAAAAACCAAGTACTTCGCAGTACTAATTTGTTGATGGAAATAGAAAACTACTCAATTAGAAGGAATCTGAATCTTTATATTGATACTTCAATTATTTTTTACTATATGAAGATTTGAATCCGACAATTGTTGATAGTCGTTACAAATGTGGTTAGTAAGGTTTCTCGGAATGTAATAAGCCTGGCTCCACTTTTATTTGCGTGTAAATACAGATCATATGGTGTTTACACTTACCTAAAAATGTTGAATTAGTGGTGTGGGAAAATTTTTGTAAAAAAATGTATATAGATTTTACTTATTGTCATCATTTGCAGTTGCCACCTCCCTAAAAAATGTGAAATCTTCGGAAATAAGTAAAAGTGGCGCATCGGTATAGGTAATATGTTATGTAAAAAATTATTGGCATTTGATTTAGATTCTGTTAGTTTAAGGGTTATATTTATTCTACTTGATAACTCTACATTAAGAGGTCGGCCACATATTTTGCCTATATGGAAAGTTTCATCAGACTAAAACAATGATGAGGTGGTGAACTTGTATCGAACTCGGTTGGAGAATTTGTTAAAAATTCCTAATATTATAAACGGATGGCAATGCTAAAGTAGGATATACCAAACCTTGAATCTACATGGACAACATTCTATATATATTGTGTATTGAGAGTTTCAAGCACCAAATTTGAAACAATTATGTTGAAATTGTGGCAAAAATCCTGAAAATTCCCGATATCGGGAAGAACCGTTATATGGGGGAACTATATAGACAATGTTCCGTCACCACACATGGGTCCCACTCCAGAATACAAATATAGATTTTTTAAACGAATACGTTAAAAAACTTTTTAAAAATCATATGAAATCCGAATATCGGGAGGTCCCCTTATATGGGAAATCGTGAATCTATTTTGGCAATTGTTCGTTACAGTGGTTGGTATCTATTGTGAACATCAACAATTTCAAAACACTTCCGTTGAAATTGTGGCTTCAATCTTCAAAATACTGAATATGGGGCTATAGAAAAACGTGGATCTATGTAGACAATGTTTTGTCGCAGGAGGTTGAATCTATTACAGTCTCTCAATACCACATATGAAACAAATCCTTTACAAAATGTGTCTTCTTCTATTTTTGGCCACCTTTTATATGAACTCCCGACATAGTGCAACGTCTAGTAACAATTTACAACAATTGTTACAAATGTAAAGATAACCAGACCGATATAATAGCATCGGTAAAATGCGGACTAGCTACAAGATCAGAAGCATTCGCCGCCAGCCGCCCTTTGTACACTAAACAAGCTGGACTGGTGTAATATAGTTAGATTTAAGACATTTTAACTGGTATTAAGTTCTGAAACAAAACCACGGTCACAGGCTAAAACTGAAACTAAACCTGACCGAGTAAATTCAATTATCAGGGCCGTGCTTTTTGCAACGACAGTATTCCACTGGCGCCCTCTTTCTCGACCGTATAGTGTACGTGAACTATAACAAATATGTTCCGCCTTGGAATGTTGGAAGTTTTTGATAAAAATACATACTCATATTTTAGTATAGCCTCCATCCCAGCTAACAATTTCAAATTTTTTGTTGAGACTTTCTACTTTTTTCCATTTTTTCTACAGTTTTTTCGAATATCGGATTAAATATCCGAACATTTTGCGAGTTTCCGGAAAATTCTCCGAATACTTTTCTTGTTTATTTTTAAAGAGTGTTTTATTTGCTTATTCTGATCGAATTCATCGCGTAATTCTAAGTTTATTTCCAATAAAACTTTCCGACTTTGAGGCATCTTTAAATTTGTATACCCTACAATTCTATGTGTTGGGGGTATTATAAGTTTGAGTGGGCCAAAAATTATGTAAAACCTTGAAATAATGGTTTCCAACATAGGAAACTATATATGGATCTTTCTATCTCGCGGAGCTGAATCGATCTAGCTATGTATGTCCGTCCGTCTGTCTATTTTAATTTGTAATCACGGTACAGGACGCAATTGTGGTCCGATTCTCACTGAATGGAGGTGGTGTTAGAGTCAGAATAGAACCCTATTGTTTTTGGAGATGATCCACAATATTATATTAATTATTATATATTTTCCTGATTTTGCAGTTACTCTATAGGCCACAATTATGAATCAACCGACGCGGAAATATGCATGAAGTTAGAGTTCAGGGCTGGGCCAATTTGGATGGTAATCGGACAATATTTAGCGGGTAAAATAAACTATAACTAACCGTAAATATCTTTAATCCCGCCCAAATCACAAATACATTAAAAGGTCACTTCTTACCATTACAATACATATGTAAAAGAAATAGGTCTCAGTTATTTTGCTTATAAGTCAAGAACCGCTGAACGGATTTCTCATCAATTCGGAATGATATATAAGAAAATCGCGTAAAAATATGACAATAAAATAGGGAATATTTTTTGCCACATTTTTTTCAATTTTTGCCGATGTTCACGATATTTCGCATGGGGTTAGGTTTAGGGTAAGAAATAAAGCCTATTGTTTTGAAGATGTACATTTAGGGGTTCAAATAGACCAACGAATTAAAATCTTCCTGATTTTGCAGTCACAATTGACGCGGAATTTTGCATGAGAAGAGAGTTAGGTACAGGGAAGAAGTCTAGAATTTTAGATGACCTTTGGATTACATTTAGCTATAAAATGGACCACAACTTTCGTGTGAAATTGTTTTGAATACCTAACAACATGACAAAATGAATTTGGACATAAGGGGCCTTTCAACATATTGTAGTGTTGTAGGTTATCACATGGTCGGCCCCGCACACCATAGCCTTTGCTTACTTGTTTTTATATAATTGGGTGCGGACTCGACATTAAAACCGGAAACGTACCGAATTCGTATAAAGCTCGGAATAAATCGTTAACTGTGATATTCTGGTATGTTAAAGCTTAAATCCATATTTGACAACCGAATTACTGTGATTTCTACCATTATGTTTTGCGAAAAATAGAAATTCCTCCTTGAAACTTTAATTCAATAGTTGGATAGCATCTATATATATAAATGTAAGTTGTGTTAGTTACTACGCTTATAACTTAAGAACCGCTGGACTGATTTTAAAGATCCACACAAATTCGGAGTTGTCTCCTCTCCGAAAAGGATAATATCCAAAAAAATCGCGTAAAAATGTGATATATTAACATTTTCATTTTGACTTTTCAAATGTACAATAGTAATGTTTTATTTTGCATGATTTTTTTCTATTTTGACTGGCTTTTTTCTAATGTACATTTGTAGTGTTTTTTATTTTTTATTTTTGAATTCGAATATTAATAGCAATTTATTTAATTGACTTGATTTCTTGAGAACTGAAATTGATGGCGGGTTACATGGAAGTGTAATACCGAATTATATGGTGGCGAAACGGAATATATGATATCGAAATAATTTAACGCGGTCACACCAAAAGAAAGATAATTATTAATTAAAAGATAATTACTTTTTCAAATTCGCTAAAAAATCACGAAAAAGAGATCTCATTGCAAAAATTCTCAAATCGGGAAAAAATCGAAAAGATTTTCAGTGGAATCGAATTTTAAAATAATAGTAAGGGTCTTTAAACATTTGCTGTAATAAATCAGCGAACAAGTTGAAGATTTTTTCAATTTGCTATTCTTCTTTTGTCATTTTTTTTAATTTGTATTTGGA